AATCATTCAATAATCAAGTGGAATATAAAGCATTAAAAAAAATGCACAAATATAACTTCTAGATAATTTATACATATTCATCACCTCTTACTAAAGAGTGAATGAGGAACTACTCACTCTTCATGACTTTGATAAAGCTAAAAAAGTGAGTGATACTCATCCCTCCAAGTAAAGGAGTTACAATGTGAAATACACTAAACAAAGAGCCAATCTTCAATGAAGAATGAGTGAATCATATCCCACCCTTCACGACTTTGGTAAAACTCTAGAAAAGTGAAAGAGTTTCACTCCTCTAAGAAAGAAGGAAGCTCAACCAATGGAGGTGAACGAAATAAACAATGAAAGTAAAAGAAAGCTAGTCACTTTTAGAGGGTTGCTTCCTCAACCAACAAATGGAAGGTTGTTTTCTCAATCAACAAATGAACTATCTCTCTTGATACAAGCAAATATAAATCTAAGAGTAAGACTAACTATATAAGTGGGAGTTTAAGCCTCCATCCAAGCTCTCTACTAGTTCTTGGGGGTAGTCTAAGCCTTACAAACCAAGTTCTGTCTACTACAAGAACCATCTCTCCCTTCAAAGGCTCCCCCAAGGGGAGTATTTATAGGCAAGGAGGAGGGGGGGACAAGAGAGTGTGAAGGAATAGTGTATGCCACCCAAGTCCAAGTGAAAGCCAACTACTCTGCAGCCTACCTGTGGAGACTGTTCAAACGTGGTCTGACGTTCGAACATTGTTTTTGTTTTTTCTTTATGGGTGTTCAAACGTTATTTGGCGTTCGAACATGTCTTCTATCTTTGCTTTATAGGCGTTTGAACGCCAGATGGGGCCTGACCTTCTCACTCAAATGGTTTGTGATCTTCTGTGGAAACCTATTTCCAAACTCCATGCACATCTTGACGCTTTACACTCATCACCTGGTCCTCAATCAATTCAAGCGGACATTCGAACATGGTACTCAAGTACCCCAGGGTCTTCCTTCTTGGCTATAACATGCCATTTCTCAACAATCTAGTCTTCACATGTTTTAAGGTAACTTTTGAACGTTGATTGGCTTTCAAACGTTCTTGGCTTGGTCCAAGCTTTTCCAATTTTGCTCCAGAATATGTTGGTGTTGCATGAAAGTCTGATATTTATTGCCTTTGGTCCCTTGTACAATTTATGCTCTGAAATGTCATCATTTAAAATCTATCAAAGTATAATTAGTCTTAAAAAGGCATGGAAACATGCTAGTTTTAACTACTAATCAACATACTTAGCCACTTTTAAGAGAAACTTCTTGGCCTCTAGTCTCTCAGCTAGGAGGTCGCCATTTTTGAGGTAGGATACATACGGGTCCATCCACTGTGACGCTTGTACTTGCAATGTTTCTCCCACCGGATCTCCTTCCTCAACTCTGAGCCTATGCAGGTACTAAAGCGGGATATTCCTTCTTTTGGCTTCACGGTCTTCTCTTGAGGATACTAGCCTAGTAAGGGAATCTAAATGGCTATTGTGTGATCTTAACACCATTTAAATAGAGAAAGTTTGAAACATATTTGGCCTTGGCCACGTATGCAATCATCTTATCGCATTTAGCTTCATATTGGTCGTTGACTTGATTGACGATTAGCTGTGAATCAATCTAAGCTCAGAGATGATACATTCCAAGGTCAATTACGAAGCCTAGCCTAGTAAGAAGAGCCTCATACCTAGCCTCATTATTTGAACCTTTTGAAACCGAGTTTGAGGGTGTTTTCCTGTTTGTGCTATTCGAGTAAGATCAAGATTAGCCTGGCCCCACTTCCGAGCTTATTAGATGAACCATCAACAAATAGTGATCACTCTGTTGAGGTGGATCTAGACGTTGTAGGGGAAAGGGGAGGGATTATCTACTTATGAGGGAGTAAATTTTGCAACACACTCAGCTACAACTTGCTCTTTGATAGCACAATAGGGGTTGAAATTGAATATCAAAATCCCTGAGCTCTATAGCCCACTTTATCAACCGTCCTGATGTGTCAAGTTTGTGAAGAATTTGTTAAAGAGGATGATCAATTGACACAATAATTTTATGAGCTTGGAAGTATGGTCTCAGTGATAGATCGATTTCTCGACCCGTTCCTCTTCCCTAACTAAAATCGAGCTCATTATCGTGGGAGAAATAGCCAAGTATAAATATAGATACTCCTTTGTGATTGCAATAGACTAGAGGGGAGGTGAGGCCATTTATTGCTTTAGCTATTCAAATGCCTTTTCGCAGTCCTCCATCCATTCAAAACTTTTCCTGAGGATTGAAAAAAATGGGAGACACTTATCATTAGCTGGAGAAACGAACATATTCAGGGCAACAACTCTGCCTACCAGCTGTTGTACTTTCTTGGTGGATTTTGGTGATTTCATGTTCAGCAGAGTGGCAATTTTCTCTAGGTTGGCTTCGATTCCTCAGCTCATAACCATGAACTCAAAAAAAATTTCGACGTGATGCCGAAAGCACACTTAGTAGGATTCAGCTTCGTTTGGTAGTTTTGGAGGATTTGGAAAGTTTCTTCCAAGTGTTGGACATGCAGCTCGGCTTGGAGACTCTTGGCCAACATATCATCCACATAGACTTCCATAGTTTTTGCATATTTACTCCTAGAACATTTGATTCACCAATCATTGGTACATTTCTCCTACATTCTTCAGACCAAAAGGTTACTCGATAACAAAATGTACCTCAGTTAGTGACGAATGACGTCTTTTCCTCATTGGCGGGCTGCATGATGATCTAGTTGTATCCTGAATAGGCATCCAAGAAACTAAGGAGCTCGTACCTAATTGTAGCATCTATGAGGACGTCAATCTTCGGTAGGGGATAGCTATCTTTGGGGCATGCTTTGTTGAGGTCAGTGAAATCAACACAAAGTCTCCATTTTTCATTTGTCTTTTTGACCAAAACAACATTTGGTATCCATTCATGGTATTTGGACTCCTTGACCTAGTCGACTTTTAGTAGTTTTGACACCTCTTCATTGATTGTCTGGTTTCTTTCAGAAGCAAAGGTGCATTTTATCTATACTACTGGTTTGTGCTGTAAATAGACACTGAGCCGATGGGTCCTGAAATCTAGGTCTATGCCTACCATGTTAGAGTGATCCCAAGTGAAGATATCCTAGGTTGCAGTTTAGCATTTTAGTAGTTGTTCGAGTAGCTCAAGAATGAGCAAGGTTTCGAGCTTGACTATTTTTAAGGGCTTTACAGGACCCAAGGCCACTTCTTCTAGATCTATTGAAGACCCCTTTGGTCATCTTCCCTAGAATCAAAAATCTCAATTTGAAGGGTTTCTTTAGGGGATTTTTCTTTCATCAGAGGCACATAACATTCTCTAGTAGTCATTTGGTCACCCTTGATTTGACCTATGCCTCTTAGGGTAAGGAAGCGCACCAACAAAAGATAAGTTGAGGGAACAGCTCGGAGTGTGTTAATGGATGGTCTCCCCATGATTACATTATAAGACGAGGGTGAGTCCATGATAAACAATTGACCATGGTAGTGAATTTTTGGGGTGGTTCACTTGTAGTGACGGTGAGAAGCATATAACCCAAAGGGAATGCTCTTTCTCCTAAAAAACCAATTAGGGGGGAATTGACTGCTATTAATTTCTCCATTCCGATACCGAGTTACTCAAACACGTTCAGATAGAGGATGTTGGTCGAGCTTCCACTATTAACCAGGACCATATAGAATTTAAAGTTGGAGATAGTCAAAGATATCACAAGGGGATCATCATAAGGGACCTAGACTCCCACCAAATTCTGGTCGGAGAATCAAAATGACTCTTCCATTCTTGGATTTTTCATAGGTTAGTCTTCCATCTGGATGTCATAGATCTCTATTGTCGTTCGGATCTTATGGGCATAATTTTTTTGAGCTGAGGAGGATTTACCACCACCAGTAAATCTCCCTGTAATGACCCTAATCTCACTAATGGGGTCATGGTGACCTCGGTTCTTGTCTTTCAGATGTCTCTCCTCTCCCATCTTCTATATGTCTTTACGATCATTTGAGATGAACCTTGACAACCTTCCTCGTCGAATTAAGGATTCAATCTGCTCTTTCAAATCTCTACATGCCTCAGTGTGGTGGCCATGGTCAAGATGAAAACAACAATATCTCTTGAGACCTCTTCTCGGGGGGTGACCACATCTTTCTTGGCCACTTAAGGATTTGATTATTCTCCACCTGGAGGAGTACTTGTTCTAGTGGGGTATTAAGAGGTGTGAATTTATCAAAACGAGTATTTGGGGTTTTGTCTTCTAGCTTGGTTTTTGTGGTTCTTCTCTTTTCGGGATCTGGTTGGGCAACTGTTTTGGAGGAGTTAGCCTTCCTTTTTTCAAGTTGGCTGACAGAGAAGGATTCTTGTTTGGCACTAATGGTATCTTCGATTTTCATGTGCTTTTGGGCTTTACGGAGTAGGTTAGCCATGCTCTTTGTAGGTGTCTTGGCTAGGTAGTATAAAAAGGTGGTGGTCTGGACTCCTGCTAGGAAGGTAGTTAGGAAGACTCAAGTCATTGAGGTCCTTTACTTAAAGGGATTCATTGATGAACCTAGTGACATGATTTTTGAGGAACTCATAATTCTGTTGCTTAATGTTCAATAGGTAGGTGGCCAGTTTCCTATGTTTTTGTCCCCCACCAAAATGAGACACAAAAGATTGGCTTAATTGGGAGAAGGTGGCAATAGAACCTAGTGGTAGTTTGCTAAACCACATGTGAGCATTCGGAGTTAATGTAGTTGGGAATGCTTGGCACATGATCTCCTCATGGAAGGCTTGCAATGTCATTAAGTCTTTGAATTTTTGGAGGTGATCAAGTGGGCCTTTGCCTCTTTCAAAACTTTCCATCTGAGGCATTCGAAAACCAAAGGGTAGTGGACAAATCACTACAACAGGAAAGAAGGGTGTTTCCTCCCTTTGGGTGGCTGGAGCAGTTTTGTTGTCAATGATGTACTTCAGGTCTCCTAATTAAACTCAGAAGTCTTTCATTTGGTCTCCCTAACTAGAGAGTTATCAGGTACTTCATATTTCTCCCTTACTCTTTGATGGAGATTGTTTGGGTTTGGTAGGGTGTCCTCTTTCTGCTGAGGATGGGATGGATCACCGCTGGTGCTATTTCTCGCCAGACTGGCCAATTTGGGAGGATCTAGAAGGTTAGGCAAGGCTGGAAGTAAAGGAACAAGTGGTTGTTGCTGTTGGAGGTTCACCTTGAGGGCTTCAACAATTTCTTTTACTTGTTGGCTTAAAACAACAACCTCGCCTAATCAAACACCAAGAAATCATTAGTTAAATAAATTGAGTCAATTTGACATTCCCATTGGAATGACCTCTATGAATTAGCCTACCTTGCTTTCCTACATTTTTATCAAAATACAACTCACCAAAACATAATTCACAAGATTTTTCAATTTTGATTTCTTTACAAATCACCCTTCCAAAACATTTGATCTTTCCTTCCCTGAGGAGATGACCTTGGAATACTCATGCCAAGTGAAACACGAAATTGCAAGTCTCTCTACGCTTGGGGAACACTTTTGCGCACACATTTTTGTTCAAACATACAATTTTTCCCATTTCTTGCATTTGAACCCGATGGAGAGTGACACTCACTAACTCGTATAAGCCATATGCACACAATCTGGCCTCATGTTTAGAGATTAGAGAAAATAATCAAGTAATAATACCAAAAGTCTCAACNGATGTCTCTCCTCTCCCATCTTCTATATGTCTTTACGATCATTTGAGATGAACCTTGACAATCTTCCTCGTCGAATTAAGGATTCAATCTGCTCTTTCAAATCTCTACATGCCTCAGTGTGGTGGCCATGGTCAAGATGAAAACAACAATATCTCTTGAGACCTCTTCTCGGGGGGTGACCACATCTTTCTTGGCCACTTAAGGATTTGATTATTCTCCACCTGGAGGAGTACTTGTTCTAGTGGGGTATTAAGAGGTGTGAATTTATCAAAACGAGTATTTGGGGTTTTGTCTTCTAGCTTGGTTTTTGTGGTTCTTCTCTTTTCGGGATCTGGTTGGGCAACTGTTTTGGAGGAGTTAGCCTTCCTTTTTTCAAGTTGGCTGACAGAGAAGGATTCTTGTTTGGCACTAATGGTATCTTCGATTTTCATGTGCTTTTGGGCTTTACGGAGTAGGTTAGCCATGCTCTTTGTAGGTGTCTTGGCTAGGTAGTATAAAAAGGTGGTGGTCTGGACTCCTGCTAGGAAGGTAGTTAGGAAGACTCAAGTCATTGAGGTCCTTTACTTAAAGGGATTCATTGATGAACCTAGTGACATGATTTTTGAGGAACTCATAATTCTGTTGCTTAATGTTCAATAGGTAGGTGGCCAGTTTCCTATGTTTTTGTCCCCCACCAAAATGAGACACAAAAGATTGGCTTAATTGGGAGAAGGTGGCAATAGAACCTAGTGGTAGTTTGCTAAACCACATGTGAGCATTCGGAGTTAATGTAGTTGGGAATGCTTGGCACATGATCTCCTCATGGAAGGCTTGCAATGTCATTAAGTCATTAAGTCAAAACTTTCCATCTGAGGCATTCGAAAACCAAAGGGTAGTGGACAAATCACTACAACAGGAAAGAAGGGTGTTTCATCCCTTTGGGTGGCTGGAGCAGTTTTGTTGTCAATGATGTACTTCAGGTCTCCTAATTAAACTCAGAAGTCTTTCATTTGGTCTCCCTAACTAGAGAGTTATCAGGTACTTCATATTTCTCCCTTACTCTTTGATGGAGATTGTTTGGGTTTGGTAGGGTGTCCTCTTTCTGCTGAGGATGGGATGGATCACCGCTGGTGCTATTTCTCGCCAGACTGGCCAATTTGGGAGGATCTAGAAGGTTAGGCAAGGCTGGAAGTAAAGGAACAAGTGGTTGTTGCTGTTGGAGGTTCACCTTGAGGGCTTCAACAATTTCTTTTACTTGTTGGCTTAAAACAACAACCTCGCCTAATCAAACACCAAGAAATCATTCGTTAAATAAATTGAGTCAATTTGACATTCCCATTGGAATGACCTCTATGAATTAGCCTACCTTGCTTTCCTACATTTTTATCAAAATACAACTCACCAAAACATAATTCACAAGATTTTTCAATTTTGATTTCTTTACAAATCACCCTTCCAAAACATTTGATCTTTCCTTCCCTGAGGAGATGACCTTGGAATACTCATGCCAAGTGAAACACGAAATTGCAAGTCTCCCTACGCTTGGGGAACACTTTTGCGCACACATTTTTGTTCAAACATACAATTTTTCCCATTTCTTGCATTTGAACCCGATGGAGAGTGACACTCACTAACTCGTATAAGCCATATGCACACAATCTGGCCTCATGTTTAGAGATTAGAGAAAATAATCAAGTAATAATACCAAAAGTCTCAACGAAAGAAATCAAGAAGAATCCCCTACCCTTGATTTTGTTATTTGTGTGTAAACCTAGCGTGTTTAATCCGTTCCAACGTGATAATTCTCCTTAAATCTTGTGTTTCTCTTCTTTTTTCTTTCTCTCTAAAATTCTATAGGGTTAAGAACTGATGAAATAAGGCTAGGGAAGACGTCCTTAGTATTTATAGGATGATAAAATAGTCCAATTGGCGTATACCTGATACTCAAAATCGCGACATTACCTTCGAACTAGAGGCTTGATGTTCAAACTATCTACAGGATATTCGAATGTAATATTAGGCATTTGGACTTTGTTTACCCCCAATACTTTTGATTTTCTATCAAAGTTTCTATCAGACCCCAAAGTACTAGAACTAACTGTCATTCAAATGGATCCATTCACGTTCGAACAGACTCTAGTTTTTACTTGAACTTCCAAGGAATTTGTTGCCTAGTTAGATGTCAATTTAGGAAATGTTTGTGAAATACACTTTTATAGCCCTGGAAGTCTAGTGTCTACTATAAAAATTTCAAATAAAATGTACATCGAAGGAAAATTTTATGGTCCAAATAATAAGATAGTGTCAAATTCTTTCCTACCCAAATTCTTTCTAAAATGCACTTTAACTCCAAAATACTTCATAACTTCTAATACACCTCATATTAACTCTTCCAAAGTTTTTATTTCTACTCTTACAATCTATATAGTTCATTCTTACGTAATTACATATATAAGCATTACAAAATAATTACGTCGCTGTATTAAGATAAACACGTAGGGGTTTATAGACCTCCACAAGCGTAGTCTCTTTCTATATCTGCCTGTTGGGTAATGAAGATTTTTTGGAAGCCATGGAAAGTAAGAGTAGAAAGGAAGGAAAAAGAGATAGGTATTTTCGACTTGGGAAATGCAAAAAAAAAAAAGAAGTAGCTTCATTTCTGAGGAGAGAGATCTAAGAAAGAAGGAAAACTTTGCCAAAACCCAAGACCCTAACTGAGCTTTAAATATATCGAGAGATGGCGATTACAAAAATCCTGCTGAAAAGACGTGCAATTAATGCGCTTCAAAAATTAGAGGGAGGTAAAGGGAAGGTTTCTAACGGGAGGAAATCTCCACTAGCTTGAAAAACCTAATTAGGGGCAACTGATGAGAAGAATTTAATCTCAACTAAGGGAAAGGTCTTAGTTGGTACTACCTTTAGAAATATAATCGTTGGCTAACTTGTTAGGAAGAAAAGAAAGTTGGAGGAGTAATGAACTCAGATAATCAGCTTTGGAAACCAGAAGGATGACATAGCTAATCTCAAATTTTTAGAACCTTATCTACCAAAGACCCACTCAAATGGCTGAATCGTTTAAATTTTATGGGGGAAGATAAGACAGTCAAGGGTTAAAGATAAGACCATACCCTCACCAAGCCTTATCCGCATGATCAAATAGACTCCAAGCACAGCTAGGACCTTGGATGGTTATACCAATAGGGGATAAAGTCTAAANGGATAAAGATAAGACCATACCCTCGCCAAGCCTTATCCGCATGATCAAATAGACTCCAAGCACAGCTAGGACCTTGGATGGTTATACCAAAAGGGGATAAAGTCTATAGAAGGCAAGACTTCTCAACGAAAGGAGATTAGTTAAATTCAAACTACTAGGAGAGCCTAGAGCCCATTCTCCTTGGGGCACCTATCAAAATACTATAAAAAGGGACCTCTGGAGTAAGACCCACACAAGCAAACTAAATCTGATTAAATTGCTACACCTTAAAATTTACAAATACTGACTTAAGCATCGGAGAGTTGACCCCTGAAACACCCCTCCGATCTCTGACTTTCTTTTCAGGTACCATTCAAAGTAATTATTTTTATGACCGTGCCAATTTTTTTTTTTTGGATTTCTGAAGACTTTTCCTCTATATTACTGACCATTTCAAAGAAGAACAATTATAAGCAATAATTGGCTTCAAGAAAAGTGGCAAATTACTGAATAAATGGTTGAATCGGGTTATGCTACCAATCACGTCACTCAGTAAATTCGTGATAGAAAATAGTATCTATTTTGCAAATTCTTTTTTGGGGTATAAGTTCTCTTGTCAAGTGCTATTTTCCATTAATCATCAATGTCAGTAGAAAATTATCTGTGTCAATAAAAAGAAGCTTGAAGGATGGACTGGTGGGCCAAATTTGATACAGTATAATTTTTTTTGTATTTAAAGTTGAAACTGAGATAAACTTCAATACGATGTAAAAATTATCTAAAATTTAAGGAGTTACGCTATAGTTTTGAAATGTTGAAACCCAGCAGAGATTTGAGAAGATGAAAGCCCCCAATGGCGTGTCTGGTATGGTATGTTTGTGTTGGATTTAGAGGGTGAATTTTATTAAAATAGTCCAACGCATTTTTTCAACCTATTTTTAATTCAAAATTTGAAGTCCAGAACTTGAATGCCGACAGTAGATTAAAAATTCACAAATGGGGGTTTGATGAAATCTAAAGAGGTTTCTAAAGTGAGGTTGAATTTGTAGGTAAAAAAATTATTTTATCCAAAATTTATTGTCCCACTCACCTAAATTACAATATTTTAGTCAATTGAGTAATAAAAAAAATAATTCTTATATATGATTTGCCATGAATTCTTAAGTCTCACATGTATTTATCTCACTTATTAAACATTAAATTAGATATGATAAATAGTTTCATTCCATATACAAAACTTTAAATTTGAGTTTTAAATTTTTTTTATAAATACAATCTAATTCCTATGACCATTCAAAGTCAAACGGCCCCTAAAGGGACAGCCGACAAATTGACCGTTGCAAAAAATCCAAGATGTCAGTCAAAAACACTCTAATGCACCCAGGTGACTGAAGACTTTTGGTTCAACAAATCTCGTCCTTTTCAAATTCATAACCTTAGCCCAAATTCATTCCATTTGAGGGGTAGTCTACGGTACCGAAAGTCAACATTCGGTACGGTACCCAAAACCTCCCGGAAGACATTGATGTTTGCTCATTAGTGCAGAACTATTGATACGATGATTTAATTTGTTTTTTTTTATAAGCATGTGTTTTAAATCTATAACTTACTCCGTCGGTGAATAAAAGAAAAAGTAAGATTGATCGTACATGAAAATGATTGATCTAATTTATTTTTTTTCTTTGTATTTATGTTATAGCCTTATTAGGGGGGGGGGGGAGCGTCTTTCCTCAGGGGGGGAATGGGGAATTGGGATCAATCATACACAATAAANGGGGGGGGGGGGGGGGGGGAGCGTCTTTCCTCAGGGGGGGAATGGGGAATTGGGATCAATCATACACAATAAAGATCAATCATACAGTGTAATCTTGAGATTAAAATAATGAAATTATGATCGATCTTAATTATTGACGATCGATCCTAGTTTTATTTAATTTTTTAATTTTTTTTTTTGTTCAAAATCTTAGTTCTGTACTCTATTAAAATTATGAAAAGAAAATTAAGATTGATCGGATATGCACATGATCGATCCTAGTTTGGTTTATTTTTTAATATTTTTTTTTTGGTTGAAAATTTTAGTTCGGAATTCTATTGAAATTATGTGAGGAAAATTAAAATCGATCGTACATGAACATGATCGATCTTAGTTCGGTTAATTTTTTTTTGTTCAAAATCTTAGTTCTGTATTCTATTGAAATTATGTAATGAAACTTAAGATCGATCGGACATGCACATGATCGATCTAATTTACTTTTTTTGTTTGTACTTATGTTACAACTTTACTGGAGGAGTGTCTTTCCTATTGGGGGAATGGGGAATTGGGATCGATCATACATAATGTTATGGGCATTAAAAGTAAGGTTACAATTTTGTAAGAAAGATTACAACTTGTACTAGTGGGTTTACAAGTGATGTGAGATAAGTTATCCATTAATTGGTAAAGTTATTTATAATAGAGGGAAGATTATTACAAATATTGATAGAATTACACCAATCAGTAGCAAAGAGGTAATTGTTATGGGTGAGGTTATAGAGGTAGAATTACACCAATCAGTAGCAAATATTGGTAGAATTACTACATGTTGATGTATGATGTAAGGTTACAATTTGTATAGGGAAGATGACAATATTAAAAATAAAGTTATGACCTAGTTAGGCTAAGTTATGCATTGAAAGGTAACTGTATCCACTATCGAGGGAGAGTTACAATGCATAAAAGTTAAATTATGGTTGTGAGTGGCCAAGAGATAACCTTTAGGGGTGAGGTTATAACATGGAGAGGTAAGGTTACTACGTTTATAGGTACGATTACAATTTTAATAATAAGATTACCACCTATTGAGGTAAAGTTACCAATTGAAAGAAAAGTAATTTTATCGAATAAAAAGGAACACTTACAATGGATAAAGGTAAAATTACTCCTGTATGAGGGAAAGATGTAATCATTATAGGTGAGGTTATAACATGTTGTCAGGTTACTACATGGAGAGGTGATGTTGTAATTTTTAGGGGTGAGGTTAAAACATTTTTTAGTAAAGTTACAACAAGTTGATGTAAGGATACTACATGTTGATGTAGGATTAGAACCAATTGAGGTAGGATTACCAGTTGTTAAAAAAATGTTAACACTTATAGAGGTAAAGTTACCCATTAAAATAAAGGTAAGTTTATTGACTAAAAAAGAACACTTACAATTCATAAAGGTAAAAGAGGTGATCTTAATTTAAAATTCACAAAAATTAACATTAATGTAAAATGCATAAAATTAAAATTTAATTAAAATTCATAAAATTAACATTAATTTAAAATTCATAAAATTAAAATTAATTTAAAATTCATAAAATTAACAATAATTTAAATTCATAAAATTAACAATTAAATCATAAAATTCATAAAATTAACATTAATTTAAAAGTCATATATTCACCACACTTGTAAGTTGTGATCGATCCTATTTAATTGGACCATTTATGAATTTTAAAATAATGTTAATTTTATAAATTGTATGATTTAAATTTAATTTTATGAATTTTAAACTAATGTTAATTTTATTAATTTTAAAATAATGTTAATTTTATTAATTTTAAATTAATAAAATTTTTTGTGAAGTTTAAATTAATGTTTATTTTACTAATTTTATGAATTAATTTTAATTTGATGAATTTTAAATTAAAGTTAATTTTATGAATTAATTTTAATTTTAAGAATTTTAAATTAATGTTAATTTTATTAATTTAGTTTGGTCCCAATTTTTGGACCATCAAATGCATTAAGATTGATCTCATATAATTATGATCGACCCTAATTGACTTGAATNAGAGGTAAAGTTACCCATGTGCTTTAAAATAAAGACAAGTTTATCGACTAAACAGGAACGCTTACAATGCATAAAGGTAAACTTACGCCTCTAAGTTGGAAAGAGGTAACCTTGAGGGGTGAGGTTAGAACAAAGGATAAATAAGATCAATCGTACATGCATATGATCGATCTAAATTTTTTTGTTTTTTTCTTCTACTTGTGTTACAACTTCAGTGGGGGGGAGCGTCTTTCCTATGGGAGGAATGAGGAATTGGGATTGATCAAACACAATAAAGATCGATCCTAATAATGAATAGTAAAGTAATGAAAGGATATACATAATAAAGATTGATCCTACTAAAGGTAAAATAATAAAGATCGATCCTAATAAAGGTAAAATAATAAAGATCGATCCTAATAAAGGTAAACAAAAGGATATACATTGCATTCTTGAGATTTAAAATAATGAATATTATGATCGATCTTAATTGTTTACGATCGATCTTAGTTTGAGTATAGGATTTGATACCTCTGTAGAGGGAAATGTGGACCCCATCATGATGGACAACAAAATTAATAAATAATTGTTTTCCCTCCCACTTTGAATGTATCACGCCCAGATGATCCCGCCAAAAGCAGTATTACCTTCGTCACTACGCTATACTCCACCACCAACTCCTTCCAAATGCAGGGCGACGACTATAAGCGATGCCGAAGCAGTCCATTGTTGTTGTTAGTCGCGTTTGATGGTAGTTTGATACATTATAATCGTGTATGTGCATTCGATTGAAGCAATATCCATGTAAGTACCAATATCTTTTTTTTTTTTATGATGTGTAACATTGGGACATAATTAAGTTGTAATAGAAGACATATTTAACTCAGGGTAAAGAAGATTTACATGGAATGTAAAAGGGATACAAATAAAATACCTCGGCCATCAACCGCCTGGATTTATTACTGGTGAGTCACTGAATATTTTCCGTAATGATTGACCTGGATGTAGGTTAAATCTTTAACATTTGTCCATATGCAGCAAAGAGAATTTAAAGAGAATAGAAGGTGGTGAAGAAGCGAAAAAAAAAATGAGGTATGTACATTTAACGTGTTAGTATTTGTAATTCGGCGAAGTCATGTTTGTCAAGTGTAATGGAAGTAATTTCAGGCAATGAAAGATTGTGCTCTGCAATGGCGTAAGATGACTGATGTTGAGAAAGGATCATACATACATTGTCGAATTCATTAAAGTTGGAATACGAGCGTTTGAAAGGAAACATGAAGAACTCCAATGGGGTAATTTGAATTTTGTTTGGAAAGGCATATCTATGTGGACTTATACATAAAAAATAGTGCATAATATGTATATGTATTTTTCTGATATTATGAAGGTGAAGCTGGGCACAAGATGTTCACCAAGCATGGTCATCAAGGTAATAGAAAAGTTAAGTGAAGAACAAAGACGCGGCATTGAAGAAATTGGTTTGGGGGGAGTTTTATACCTTAAATGTAAACAAATAAAGAGAGATTTGTGTGCATGGTTAGTGGAGTGCTTTGATTCGGAAGGCTGTGCACTCAATGTGTATGGAAAATCGTTGAAGTTCTCGCCTATAGATGTTGAGTTGATAATGGGACTGAGAAATGAAGGGGTAGATGTGGAGAGGAACGGGCCACCTGATAGAATAATTGAGGTATGTGAATCGTTGTTCAAGGGAGTCAAGGTTATTCCTTTGAAAGTTTTGGAGGGTAGATTATTTGAAATGAAGGGTGATTCTGTTGAGTTCAAGCGTATATTTGTTTTATTTGTACTTGGTTATTTATTGCTTCCCACAATGAAGACGACAGTTAGCATATCTTCCATCCAGTCGATAATAGATGTTGGAGGTTTAGGCAAGAAGAATTGTGTGAAGCTTGTGTATGATGGCGTTATTGTAGGAGTGCAGAAGTACAAGCTGAATAATCAGTACAATATCAGTGGGTGCATACTTGTCCTAATGGTAATTAATTGTTTACTACACATTTGCATTCTATTATTAATAGCATAATTGGTCATGAATCAAAAGTTTGCCAGATCTTATATTTTTTTGAAGCTGTTTTTCCTTGAGCGGGTGACACCATACGGAGTTGTGGATGTTCCATACATGGGTCAAACCCTTCCCCGAATTGCCGCATGGGGTGATCAATAAATTAATGACCGTATTATCCTTTTAAAGAAGTCAGGATGGCTACAATATATGCAGGTATCATCTTTTTGTAGTTATGCAATTATCTTTTCATANATGAATCAAAAGTTTGCCAGATCTTATATTTTTTTGAAGCTGTTTTTCCTTGAGCAGGTGACACCATACGGAGTTGTGGATGTTCCATACATGGGTCAAACCCTTCCCCGAATTGCCGCATGGGGTGATTAATAAATTAATGACCGTATTATCCTTTTAAAGAAGTCAGGGTGGCTACAATATATGCAGGTATCATCTTTTTGTAGTTATGCAATTATCTTTTCATACATAATATTTAAATAAATGAACTGTTCATTATAGGTTCCATTATCATATGTCAATCATGGTTTATCAAATGCACCTGTGAAAGCAATATCGTCAATTCAGGCACCTCAAGTGAATATCGATGCAAGATTTACAGTAAGTGTTGTTGATACTTTACGACAATACAAATTTAATTTTTGATGTGTGAAATGATATGTAATTGATTTACACAGGCCATTGAACAA